GGTCCCAAGGCTTAGCCTCTGGGAAGCGCTCTGATTTGTGTTTCGAAAAGACTTTCCAGAAGTCGTGGTACTCGGGAGGTACCAGCCTCTTAATCTCTTCCTCAGGTTTTACCTCATCATCGTCATCGTCGATCTTTTCTAGAGATCTGAGCTCGTAAACGTGACTAGCGTTTAACTTTTCGAGACGCTCATTGTGATGGACATGATTTGGTTTACCCAAGTTTACACATTCCTGGGGACAACGTGACAATGTGACAACCCCTGTCTGCCAGTTGATCTCAGGATTGTGTTTAAATAGCCAGGTCCAGCCTAAGATTAAATTAATCTTCCCTAGTTGGGTAGCCTCGGCAGTGACTCGTTCTCTGTGTCCTTGGTATTCGACCACAAAAGAACATTTGTGTGTAATACAGCCACCTGCGTTAAGCGTACCGTCAACGTTATAGACGGGAATAGATGTTTCTAATTTTACAAGGGGGAGTCCAATTTGCTCCGCCCAGACCTGATCTATGAAGATCCCGTTAGCGCCTGAATCAAGCAGTGCGCTTGTTGAGTGTACTTTGCCCCTGGCAAGGTTTTCCACGCCAACGTCTAAACAGATCTCTTTTTGGAATCAATACGTGCGCATCAACACACGCCTTGGGATTTCGGGAAAGGGTGGCTCCGAAGAAGAAGAAGAAGAAGAAGAAGAAGAAGAAGAAGAAGGAATTTTGAATGACACATGTTTTTCTATTTTTGTTTTACCAGAATCAAGCACCCTAGTGTTTGTCTCGCCGGGGCCACGCTCCAAGGGAGACGCTGGTGCAGCGGTAGTATCATAAATATTACAGTTACATATCTTTATACAAGTACATACTTCTGATAACAAATTAAAAAATTTATTTACAAATTGGGGAGCCATCCCCGTCATTCCGTTATTGCTCGTGCAACACCCCGGAGCAGGGGCCACTTTGTTGTGGTTTACTTCATTTTTACCAGGAGCTAAGGTACCCAAGTGACCTAAGCCCCGAATTCTTTTCCCTGAGCCTTCATTTTGTTGACCTGTTGGTCATAGAAGAAGGCCCGGATTTCGTCGTAAGAACGACCGGCCAAAGAGTTGAGCCGATCGTCCGGCTTTGCGATTTCTAATTGGCGCGCCTGGCGCCTTTGATTATTTTGTTGGGCAGCCTGCGCCCCGTTTCTACAGTCTCGGGACATGTGTCCCTCTTGGGCCGCAGTTGTAACAGTTGCCCTTGAATCTGCGCATTTGTTTCTTTTAC